CCGAGGGTTCGGATCCCACATACAGACCGGCCGCTCACTGGCTGAGCGAGGCGCGGGAGCAACACCGAGGGTTGCGATCCCGTTGCGGTCCCCTGTCCAGTACGGGCGCGACACTGAGGGTTGCGATCCGTTGCCGGTCACGAAAAAAGACAAAAAAAAAAAAAAGAAAAAAGCAGAATGTAAAATCATCTCTAAGCAATGGTCCGAGTGATGGGCCACTGAGGTGTGTATATGGTGGACACTATGGGGAGGGGACAGGAAAGAATGAAAAGAGATTTATCGATCGGGGTGGCAGGATCACAAATGATTTTCTTTTTAAACATTTTAGTTTCTGATAATCTTGTTATAAAGTCATTTATTCTATATAGGTAAGGAATGATTTTCAAAGATCTTAGATGAATCAATGAGATAACAGCTAAACGCTCCCTAAATTGGCATCTGCTTAAAAAGGTCTTGGTTTCTTGTAGTTCACTTTGCTGAAATGTCACCCTAAATCTTTCCCCCTTTTTTTTCATTTCCACTTGGCATCCGGTTAATCATCCTCCGGGAGAGCACCTGGGCTGGACGACCTGGCGTCCCGGTTCTTGCTTTGCTGCTCCCCAGCCGATAGATTCAGAGCCTCAGATTTTCATGCTAGCACTGGGGTCAAATCACCTGCCATTGTGCACTCACGAGCTTGTGGTGGTGGTGATCGAATGGGCTAATGTGCGGCTGATGCTTTTATCTGATTTGCTATATAATAAAAAATACCCAAGTACACATTAAGCAATTTTGTTTAGATTTAGAGCAGGTAAACGTTTGTTCCTTTGCCAATCTTTTAATGTAGGGACAAGGCCTGTTCTTTTGAGAATGGATCTGCTGAGGAGAGTTGCCCTTTGCCTGTTTTATGTAAACCACAACCTTTTTTCACTGTTTGTGAGTCCTGTTTTTGTTTCTTTAAAGCAAAACTTTTTTTTTTTTTCCTTTTTGTCTTTTTCCGTGTCCGGCAACGGATCGCAACCCTCAGTGTTGCCCCCGTACCGGACCGGGACCAGCAACGGGATCGCCACCCTCGGCGTTGCCCCCGCGCCTCGCTCAGCCAGTGAGCGGCTGGTCTGTATGTGGGATCCGAACCCTCGGCGGGAGCGCCACTGCGCTTCCCAAGCGGGGCACTGTAGCAGTGCGCCACCGGGCCGGCCCTTTAAAGCAAAACTTTAAAGATACTTGCAAAGCCGTTCTGTACATACAACCCCCTAGATTTCATATCCCTTGGTCTTTTACAATTAATTTATTCTCATAGTCAACATTTTTTTTAGAAATTGGGCTTCATCAGGTCTTTCCAAATATCCAACTTAGTTTTCAAAGAAAATTTCTCAGTTTTTTTTTTGGCCGCTGGCTGGTGCTGGGATCTGAACCCATGACCTCAACGTTACAAGGCTGTGCTCTAACCACCTGAGCTAATCAGCCAGCCTTGTCTTCGTGTTCATTTAATCAGTGAAAGTCGTAAGCTAATCAGGTCACACGATTATAATAACAAGTACAACCGGCATAAGCAGGGTTGGGAGCGAACACGACAGGGTCCTGGTGAGTGACAGCTGGCCCAGTGGGGGCCGAGTGGGCAGGCCGGCTGGTGACGAGCCATGGCTCTAGATGTTCGGTCTTCCTTTGTCATCAGTGCCTGGTTTTCTGTAGGGAACAGAGACGGCTGTCTAATCTGGCCAGTTAGATAAGTGGAGTTCGGTCGTATGTGAAATCGCTTCCTTCGCTGTAAAGAGCTGTGCAAGGGGCTGCGATTGTTTGTTTACGCGGCACTGATGGACCACCTGCCCTGGACCCCGTGCAGCGTTGGTTCTGGGGGTCAAGGATGGCTGGACCCACCCTGGGAGCCCATGACCCCTCCGACTCTGTGCCCGGACCTTGTCTTCCAGGACCCGATCGTCAGCCAATTCTTCCCCACCCTGCTGCTCTGGTCCTTCTCGGCCCTGCTGCCATCCATCGTCTACTACTCCACGCTGCTGGAGTCTCACTGGACCAAGTGAGTGCTGGAGCCTCTCGGAGCTCCTCTGAGAAGGATGTCTCTGACACCAGCCTCCCCCATCCCAGGCAGTGGGCACACAGCGGGGGCCTTCCTGGGGGCACCTGCAGCATTTGGGGGACTGCAAGTGCTCACCGCTATCTTCCTGCAGGTCAGGAGAAAACCGGAGCATGGTGACCAAGGTCTACACATTCTTGATCTTCATGGTGCTGATCCTGCCCTCTCTTGGCCTCACCAGGTACACACCACCGCCTCCTGCTGTAAATTCAGAATCAGGGTCACAGCTGGAGAGCATTGTCCCCAGGATGTGGTTTGGGAGCAGATGCCAATCCCTAACAGTAGTTAAGCTTGTCGCAACCGCAACTGTTTGGAGTGCTGTTGAGCTCATCCATGGATTCATCAGGAAATAGGATCTTGCTTCCTTAAAAAAACCACAAAACTTGAAAGCAAAACTTCTGAGGACCTTCCACTCAGGGAGGGTCAGTCACGTCTTTGTTTATCTCAAGGAAGGAAGTTTCTGTAAAGCAGGCCCTGAGCAGTCGCACCGTAGTCAGGGGCATCGTAGAGAACCAACGGAGACCTGAGATTCGGCCTGTTTTTAGCGTGAACAAGATGAAAACGTGGAGCGATCACGTGGAGCATTGCAAATAAACCCTCACGGGGATTCATTTGTTTTCCAGTCTGGACTTTTTCTTCCGGTGGCTCTTTGACAAAACTTTCTCGGAGGCCTCTATCAGGTTGGAGTAAGTATCAGCCATGTGGAGCTCTGGAGCCCCAGGCCTGGGCTGAAGTCCCACAGGGGCAGGGGCTGGGGCTGCAGCGGGAGGGTGTGGGGGGGTGTCTGTGCTTCAGAACAGGCGTCTTCCTCCCCGAGACTGCAGGGCCTGGGCTTTCACACCCCCCTGCCCCACTGATTCCTGGCACCCACCGCGGGAGCGCACCCATTTTGTGCTGTGTTTGCAGAAATGTGATTCATCTTCTCGGCCAAAACTCAATTAGTGGAGTCTCCATTTTCTGCAACTTCCTCACTGAGCACAGAGCTGCTCAGGGAGAAGGGACTGCTGGGCTCCGTGGTGCCAGGGAGAGGGAAAGGAGAATTCAATGTGGTGACCAGAATGACCGTGTGGTCTGGGGATTGTTAGTTTTGCTGGGAGAACGGAGTTAAACTTACCGCCGGTGGTTGTCCTTGCTAGTATTTTATGCTTATTCCACACCCACTTTATAGTAATAACTATTATTTAAGAAGACACTATGCAAATGCTGTATATGTCTTTTTCATATTTAATCTTTGCAGCAAGCTGTGATCTAGATAGTATTATCATCTCCACTTTACAGATGGGGAGACTGAGGCTCAGAGATGTTGAATAACTTACCCAAGATTACCCAGCTGGTTAAGAGCCAGAGCTGAGGGGCTGGCCCGGCGGCGGCGCTCCTGCCCGAGGGTTCGGATCCCACATACAGACCGGTTCCCGCTCATTGGCTGAGCGAGGTGCGGGAGCAACACCGAGGGTTGCGATCCCGTTGCCGGTCCCCGGTCTGGTCCGGGGGCAACACTGAGGGTTGCGATCCGTTGCAAAAAAAAAAAAAAAAAAAAAAAAGAGCCAGAGCTGAGATTCAACCCCAGCCCACGTTGCACTATACTTTATACTTTAGTTTTAAGACAGCCCAAAGCCTCAGGATTGACTTTTCCAAAGGAATGTTTAGAGGGCAGGCGAGCTGGGCTCACCTCTTAGGAGGGGGTGAATGATTTGAAGTGAGTTCTTGCTGGGTAAGCTGACTCGGGAGCTGGAAGCCACAGACAGACACAGACACCCAACCAGCTGTCGTCTAGGTTGACAGTGACTTCCAGGTTACCAAAGCCAGTGGCCGGCTCTCAGTCCTCATCTCGTGTTACCTGGCAGCAGCATCTGACACCGTGAATCGAGCCGTGCTCCTTGAACACTGTCTTTACTCGGCTCGGGGACTCTGTCTCCCGGCTCTGCTATCCCATGGCGCCTCCTGCCCGGCCCCCTGAGGGCTCAGCCCTCGGTGACCTCAGCACACCCGCACCTCTAGCCTGTGCCTCCAGACGCTTGCATCCAGCTGCTTGTCTCAGCTCCACGTGGAGTCTGCCGGGCATCTCAGACTTTACCTGCCCCAAACCAAACTCCTGACTTTTCTCCCCAGATCTGCTACTCCCACAGCTGTCCCCATTCCACAGTGTTTTTGTGGTTGCTTTCTCCTTGTCCCCTTTCTTTCTCTCCTATGCCACACCCGGTCTATCAGCAAAGCCCAACAGCTCTATCTCTGAGATTGATCTGGAATCCAATCCTGTCTCACCATGACACCCTCATCTGCACACTGGTGACAGAGGTAGCCATCCGTGTGGTCCCCCAGCCCACTAGTCTCCCCAGCTGTCCTGCTGCAGCCAGCCCTCGCACCTCCAGCCTCACAGGCTACTCTGCCTGCCCGCTGCTCCCCAGCCCCCCACCCCTGCTGGGCCCTGGGGACACCAGGCCCGCACCCACTCAGAGCCCCCATCCCTTGTCCCCTTTGCCTCGACTGTCCTCTCCCTGGGTGTCTGGAGTCGCTCTTCCCCCTCCTTCACATCTCTGCACAAACATCACTCATCACCAAGCTTCTCTGACCCCCTGCGTGACACAGACACCCCCCACCCTGCTTGCTTCCCCCTGGAGCGCTTGTCACCTCTGGCCTGTGTCCCCAGCTAGAACGTAAATGCCAGGAGAGCAGGGTCGGGCCTGGCTTCGTTCTCGGGGCTGGCAGGTAGGTGTGCCCCACAGGGGTGCACTGGATGTGGAGGATCGTCAAGCTGTGGCGGCAGCAGGCTCCTGGCTCTGCTCACGGAGCGCTGTCCCCCAGGTGTGTCTTCCTGCCCGACCAGGGCGCGTTCTTCGTGAACTACGTCATCGCCTCGGCCTTCATCGGCAATGGCATGGAGCTGCTGCGCCTGCCAGGCCTCATCCTCTACACCTTCCGCATGATCATGGCCAAGACGGCTGCCGACCGCAGGAACGTCAAGCAGGTGCCACCAGGGCGGGGGGCGGGGGGGTGCCCACTGGGAGCAGGACAGTGTCTCTGACACCCTCCCCAGTGCTCCCCCCACCTGCAGGCCTCTTGGCTCGCTTAGATCAGCATCCCCACTAGTGCCAGGCACTGTCCCAAGTGCATCTCAAACATGGGCCCAGGGCCACTTCTGCAGAGCCACCTCTGAATGTGGCAGGTCTTCCCCCAGCCTCCACCGTAACTCCCAGGCTGCAGGAGAGAGCTTAGGATTTCTGCATTTTAACCAGTCGCACACATACGTGCACACAACTAAAATCCACACTGTCCTTTTCCGTGGGTGCTCATTTGCATAAATTCTTAGTACCATACATGTCAAAGGCATTTGGGGCTTGTGGCATTTGTTCCAAGATTCCCCAGATTAGAGGTGTGCGGTTCTCTTTGCTTCTGCTCTGTCGGGTGGGTACTGTGAGAGGAAGGTGGGAGAAGCATTGCATTCCTTTATTTCGTCCCCCCGATGAGTCAGGTACTGCTAATATCCCCATTTTACAGATGCACAAACTAAGCTGGCCCAGGAGCCACAGCTGGAAGAGGCAGATCTCACGCCAAAGCCCGTGGGGGGCTGCTCCACAGTCTGACCTCACAGCATCTCTGCCCTCCAGGGGCTGCCAGACAGACACTAGAACAGGGGACACTAGGAAGACACAAGTCGCTGTGCCTTTGGGAGGTCTGGGTGTGCACCGAGTGAAGCTGGAGAGGCGGGGCAGGGACAGCAAAGACCTCTGGAGGCCGCCTAGCCCTGGTCTCCACCCCACTGTCCCCTCACCACTTGGGGTGCACAAGTGTGGGTGTTTGGGGTGGAGCAAGCCCGGGAGCTCCTCACCAACTCTTCCTCGCAGAACCAGGCCTTCGAATACGAGTTTGGAGCCATGTACGCGTGGATGCTGTGCGTCTTCACTGTCATCATGGCTTACAGCATCACCTGCCCCATCATCGCGCCATTCGGTGAGTGGCCTTGGGGTATGTGGATTCCACCAAGCCTCCCAGGGACGGCCACCACCCAGGCATTAGGGAGCCCCAGAAACAGCAGACCTCTTGCAGCCACAGAACCACAGCTGCCAGGCAGCACGTGTGACACCACATTCCGTTCACTTCCAAATGAATCCCTTCCACTGGCCACCCAGCTGTGCCCTCTCTGATCAGAATGGGTCGTTTTTTTTTTTCCTGGTGGTTGGCTGGTAAGGATATCCAAACCCTTGACCTTGGTGTTACAAGGCGACACTCTAACCATCTGAGCCAACTGGCCAGCCCCCAGCTATGACCTCTCTTAGTTCTTTTCCTGGTCGGAGGTCCTCTGCCCGCTGACGATGTCACCCTTGGCTGATTCTTTAGCCACAAGTGAGACGGTGCGTAATAACGATCAACACTCTTCCACGGGTGCGCTCGCTTTGGCCAGACACCGTGGCCCTCCTGGTGGCCTAGCTCGTTCAGTCCTCACCCAGTCCCACAAGGCAGGTCTGGTCTCCACCCTTCTCACAGATGAAGAATGTCACATGTTGTTAGTAAGGAGGACAGCCAGGACTTGAACTTAGGACTGTCTGACTTTAAAGGCCAAGGTCTTGGCCACTAAAAGAAAACATCAGGAAGTGGCAGACAAATGGAAGACTCTGGAAGGAAACAGAACACCTAAGAGACTGTCAGCAGTGGTAGCTGAGGTTTAGGGATAGAAGGAAGGTTTAGTTCTCCCTATAACAATTTAAAAAATCTACAGCATTACTCTTTCAAAATGAAAAAATAAATTTAAAAAAACAACCTGGCATAATAGAAAAGGCAGCACCCACCTTCTGTGCCACCACTGGGGTGAGACCCCGGAGCATCTGCTGACCACGATGAGGGCAGGACGTCCGCCTGGATGGGAGAGGGACGGGGACCCAGCATGGGGGGCGCGGGGAGAACGGGGCCAGGCGTCTGAGTGTGAAACGGCCTCCTGCCCAAGACAATCCTGGAATGTCAGTGTTCCACGGGGACACCGTCCCAGACACCACTACTCCCTTGGGGTCAGAAAGAAGTGAGGAAGGGGTTGGGGGATGGAGAGGAGACAGAAAACCAGCAGCCAGGATGTGCATTTTGCCTCATTTGGGGTTCGTGCAGTACAGCCGTAGCCCCAGGCCCAGCTCCCTGCAAACAGCCACTCCTGAGTGGAAGGGGGCAGAGGCGCCCTGTGGCCCAGCGGGGTCAGCAGCTCACGGCCCCACGTCCGCAGGCCTCATCTACATCCTGCTCAAGCACATGGTGGACCGGCACAACCTCTACTTCGCCTACCTCCCGGCCAAGCTGGAGAAGAGGATCCACTTCGCCGCCGTGAACCAGGCCTTGGCTGCTCCTATCCTCTGCCTCTTCTGGCTCTACTTCTTCTCTTTCCTGCGCCTGGGTAAGGGGCCCTTCAGCCCTGGGGGCCAGCCCCCGGCCTCACATCCCCCGGTCCCCACCAGCTGCTCAGATCCCTCACTGCTGTCATAGCATCGACTTGGTGTCCTATCACAACCGGGGCCCCAAGGTGAGGCTGGTTGGGTGTCCAATCAGAACGTGGTACCCCAGGGTGAGGGCTGGTTGAGTGGCCAATCAGAATATGGTGCTCTAGGGTAATGGTTGGTTGAGTGGCCAATCAGAATACAGTACCCCAAGGTGAAGGCTGGTTGAGTGTCCAATCAGAATATGGTGCCTTAGGGTGATGGTTGGTTGAGTGGCCAATCAGAATATGGTACCCCAAGGTGAAGGCTGGTTGAGTGTCCAATCAGAATGTGGTGCCCTAGGGTGAAGGCTGGTTGGGTGGCCAATCAGAATGTGGTACCCCAAGGTGAAGGCTGGTTGAGTGTCCAATCAGGATATGATGCCCTAGGATGAAGGCTGGTTGAGTGTCCAATCAGAATGTGGTGCCCTAGGGTGAAGGCTGGTTGAGTGTCCAATCAGAATGTGGTGCCCTAGGATGAAGGCTGGTTGAGTGTCCAATCAGAATATGATGCCCTTGGGCCGGCCCGGTGGCGCACTCAGTAGAGTGCGGTGCTTGGGAGAGTGGCGGCGCTCCCGCCGAGGGTTCGGATCCCATATAGAGACCAGTCCGCTCACTGGTTGAGCACGGTACGGGCGTGACACCGAGGGTTGCAATCCCGTTACCGGTCACGAAAAAAGACAAAAAAGGAAAAAAAAAAAAAAAAAAAAAAAGAATATGATGCCCTAGGATGAGGGCTGGTTGAGTGTCCAATCAGAATGTGGTACTCGAGGGTGAAGGCTGGTTGAGTGTCCAATCAGGATATGATGCCCTAGGATGAAGGCTGGTTGAGTGTCCAATCAGAATGTGGTGCCCTAGGGTGAAGGCTGGTTGAGTGTCCAATCAGAATGTGGTGCCTTAGGGTGAAGGCTGGTTGAGTGTCCAATCAGAATATGATGCCCTAGGATGAAGGCTGGTTGAGTGTCCAATCAGAATGTGGTACTCGAGGGTGAAGGCTGGTTGAGTGTTTACAGATACATTTAATTATACAGAAAAAGAATTTCTTCTTGAGAAATGAAATGTGCCCAACAAGTGATCAAGCATAATTATAGATGCTTAGGGAGTGTGTTAATTGTGGCCTTAGGGTGAAGGCTGGTTGAGTGTCCAATCAGAATATGATGCCCTAGGATGAAGGCTGGTTGACACTCAGTAGAGTGCGGTGCTTGGGAGAGTGGCGGCGCTCCCGCCGAGGGTT